CAACATTCCATTACCGGATGCGGGGTCGAACGTATACTGTTGAGAAGTTCAATACTAAAACGAAACTGCCGTTCATGGTTCCCAGGATTTTAATGGTGCTACAATTATGACCAGTTTGTGATTTAAAAACTGTGATAAATATTATTTGTTATAAACAATTGATCAATAGGCAAATGTAAGTTAATTTCAATTGAAAGGAAAGTCTCAAAAGAAAAATCAGTCAGTTAGTCATAAGCAACGTAAGGATCTCATTAATAAATATGGGATCATATGAAAGTATTGAATATTACTGCAAGAAATGTATTCCAAGTAATTATACAATAATGTTTAAATCTTCAGTTGCCTTATTACAACAATTATAAGATCTATAGAATAGATTGATTAGCCCAATGGATGATGCGTTGAGGTTTGCATCTAAAGGTACTAGGTTCGAATTCCAGTGCGAAAATGAACACTAGAATACAAGTAAACGCAGCCAACGAGTCTAAAGTAAGATGAAACGCGCTTTCTGAATTCCACTGCTAGCCATAATCTAACATTTTTATAAAACTTGTGACAAAAATATTATATCGAAGCAATTCGAACATAATGAACATACGTCAACAAAGACGGATCAAAATTCAGTCCAGAATATAAATAACAGGATGATTTAAGCTTTTATTAATGATTCTTTGTAAGGTGACAGAAGACTTAAAGTCCAGTGTAAGAACTTGTAGTTGGTTATTAAGTTGTATTTAAAAAAAAAAGTTTTACCAGCTGTTTTACTCTGGCATTGATTTTGATCATTTTATTGCTCTCTGCTGATCATTTCATCTAGCAACTTGAACCAATGTACACGTGTGCCAGATTGTAGATCACTCATGATTGATTATTGTTCAATCAGTGAATTTACAAACCAGTAGAATAATGCGTACGTTCAGACCATCATGCTCGTTAATAACAACGAAACTGAGGAACTCAATACGAAAAATTCATAATAAAGGGAACATGTGTGAAGATGTCACTTCATATTATGTTAGGGCATGCTGATTGGCTATTTCTTAACCAACAAGCGCTAGTGGATACTTAGAGAACCCTCTAGAATCTTTTCATGTAAAAACTATAGATATACTAACGTTTTTCTTATTGTTCTTCCTACTTCCACCTACCCCTCTTATTTGGAATATAATTTCGTTCCTGTTCAACTGCGTTCTGATTTGGAGACTTGTCAAGTGAAACAGTATCCAAGAATACTAAGCAATAGGAGTATCTGGGTCGTAATAACACAAATTATAACAGGACAGAAAAACAAACCTAACAAGATAATGAATAGCAAAGGAGTCATAATAATAATAGTACGATTGAACATAAAAAGAACGGAATATATGGTATGTCGTGAAAAAAATATGAATATTCTCGGAATGACACGATACGGAGGCTCCTGATCTTGGAAAATAAAGAGCATAAAAAAATCTGCGCTAGTATGGTCGACTTCGAAGCACGTCACCGAAAGGTTTAGAACCATCAAGGGATCAGTTCAACTGGCCTTCAGCCACACTTCGGTTCCCCACGATCTCTAGTCGACCTGAATGGCAAGTTGGTGTAAGTCCTCCGACTCTTTACGAGGTTGAAAAAGCTACAGGAAGTCTGGAGTGAGGGAGGGCAGCAGACGCCGACAGATTAACCCCTGAGATTTCTAAGGATGGCGATAGCAATGAGATTGACTGAGGCCTTAGGCAGAATCTGGGAACTGGACGCAATCACATCTGACTGGTCTCACTGTAAGAAAGGACAAAAGTCCTCTTGTGACAATCACAGGAATCAGTTTGACTAATATAGTGTCTAAAATATTAGCTTCAACAATACTTCGACGCCTAACTAAAGCTCGTGAAGAGCAGACGGGAGAAAACCAGGCAGCTTTCCAACCTTTTATTTTTATTTTATTTGAACACATAAACATTGGTACAAGTAGGCACCAAATATATATGCGCCATACCAATCATTCGATTTGTGTGAGGGCTGGGATCTGCCTGAGTGCCTAAACCGAAGCAGGGTTTCCGACCTGGAGGTGGCTGTATAGACCAGATATTCACATTACGTCAGGTCCTAGAACTCAGAAGCCCCACAATCGTAGTATTTCTCGGCCATAAGGTAGCATTTGACTCTGTTGATCATGAGGTTCCATGGCAGTGTTTTTCAATGAAAGGATTATCAAAGAAGTACATTAACCTTATACAGGGTCTCTACTCGAACACAACTGGCTGAGTGAGAGCCTATGGCGAACTGTCATCAGAATTAATTACCCCAAGTGGTGTTCGTCAGGGCTGTCCACTCTTTCCATTCTTGTTTAACTTTGTCATTGACGTGCTTTTGGAGATGACACTTTCCTCATCTAAATTTCCAGGATTTGGACTTCTAAAGGGAGATTCACTTGTTGACTTAGAATATGCCAATGACATAGTTTTATTCGGTGAAAACGCTGAGAAAATGCAGTCTTCTGACCATCGTGAGTAACAATGCAAAAATATCCAGGATGCGATTCTCCCCCTCGAAATGCAAAATGTTGCTTCAGGCCCACAAAAGCCCTGGTATGGCCGAAAGTGGGGAGGGCCCGCCCTCCCTCTCGAAATGTTCTCACACGGCAACGCATATACTGCCTCTGCCTTCTCGTGCAGGGGGTGTTGTTTACGAAAATGAGGATGAAAAGCGAATATCCGGCGCTTTGACCGGATTTCAAACTAATGGTGCACATGGGCTCCAGTATCCTGAGGAAACAAATGGCGTATGAACCAATTGTTGATCACCGATTACCATGGGACTGCATCTCCTCACGATGCTCCACTGCCTTGTGGTTCAGACCTTTAGGTCAAAGGCTCGGGGTGGGGACCCCTAAAAAAACCACCTGCTTCAGTCTGGGCACCTGAGCAGTATCACAGCCCACACACAAATATGATGAAATGTCGATTATTTACGGAAAATACTTTTCTTGCTTCGATTACCAATCAAACGATTCATATTATTATTATCACTATTATTGTTATTATTTATTACGTCACTTATTCACTCTTTTATTCCCACCTTATGTATCCTTATTTTTCGACTTATACAGCAGCTCATCTATGGTGGAAACTCGGTTCTATCTAAACGTTCTCGAGTCACTGAGTGGTTGAAAATTGAATGCTACCGCCAAATACGAATACTCAAGCAGTTTTTCTGAAACCACGTGAACCATTCAAACTGGCTGCCTTCAGCGTTCGCACACTTATGCAGATCGGACAAAAGATAGGTCAACCTATGTCTTTAAAAAGTCTTAATATCGACGTTTTTTGTCTATCCGAGACACGTATTCAAGACTCTAGTGAAGTACTACAAATTCGCTCTCCATCTGTCGATTCAAAAAGCTTGTTTTACATGCGTTTATCAGGGGACCCTGTGGCATCTTCGTCTGGTCATTTACGGTGTAGGCGAGATATCCGTTTACTAACCCAAGGACGAGTTTATTGCGCAGCAGTTCGTCCCGTCCTACTTTATGGCAGTGAAACATGACCGGTAAGAGTAGAGGATATTCGTAGGTTACTAGTATTTGATCATAGGTGTCTTTGAAACATTGTTCGTATATCCTGGGACCATCGAGTAAGTAATACAGTTGTTAGGAAATGGGTACTAGGTAAGGATGGGAAATCGATTGATGAAGTGGTGAAACTTTATCAGTTGAGATGGCTGGGACAAGTGTTACGTATGCCCTGCCACCGACTGCTCCGATGTGCGATGTTTCACGGTGTAAGAGTAGGTTGGAACAATGCTAGGAGCGGCCAGATCAAAACATGGCACAAATCCATGAAGTCTCTAACAAGTGGACTGAGCCATATTGGTAGGTGTAGACTATCTGGTTGAGATCTGTGAGACGATAGCAACCGATGGTTAGAGACCTTGAATGACATGGCTCAAAATCGTTTGCAGTGGCGTAGGTGCATCCACTCTTTATGTTCTCCCAAATTTTAATGTTCTAAATTCTTCATGTCCCTTATTTTTTCTCTTTCCAAATTTATTTAACTGGATTGTACTCCTTGAATGACATCTTCAAACCCTAATCTTTCCGATTACTGCTTATATTTTTACTACCTCTACCACTGCGGGATTTGAATCGACAATTGTATCTGTGTGCTATTGTGGTAAGGCGACTCGAACTGATATACGTACGTACGAAGTTCTACGTTTTTGCTGCTTGACTGAGAAGCACCGATCACGATTAATGCACGCGACTATATGATTAAATACATCTAGCTTTGATTCATTCAACGATAAACATAGAAGACTCTCTGTACTATTCTCTTCCTAGACTAAACGAATTCAGAATATAAATAACGAATTTGTCGAGAAATCATATAAGAACGAACAAAGCCAGTTGTTATGGTGCAGAAACATGCTTACCAAGTCCTTGTAAGTAGAACAGAAATGAATATGCAAATAGTGAAAAATCATTTTAGATCGTAGCACTAATAAAGAGTGTTTAATGTAAAAAAAATTCAGTAGGCAAAGATACAATTCGTAATTTACGAAAACGCAATATTAAAGTCATAAGAGAAATGGTTGGTTGGAGGGATTTTCACCACCTAATCGCCCCTAACGAACATAAAGACATGTCAATATACTTTTAGTCAGTCAGCTACAACGTAGGACCAGGCACATGTGTGCATCGGTCCAGGTTGCCATACCGCATCAGCACAACAAGATGAACACCGGATTCATAACAGTGGTTAGGTAAAAGGTGGTAATATATAAGAGAAAGATTGCATATAGAGATATAGTAAAAGAAGAAAGAATTGGTTCGTAGAAAGAAAGATATGAAGCGATTTTAATCTCTTAGTTTAAGGGAAGACAGGGAGTGTATACACCGACGCCATTGTGATCGATTCTGAGCCATGTCATTTGAACAGAAAAACGACAACTGACAGACAAGAGGTAAAACAAAGAATACGAATATCAATATAAAAACATGCAAACTATGTACACACACTCACCTTAGATGGGACAAGATCAACCAAAGTCAATAAACGATTACGTGATATACTTGTCTTTCGATGATGATCAATTAATTGGTTAATGGAATCAAATTTGGATAACCAGAAAAAATATTTTCCAGCTTCGTCTTGAAGTACTTTAAAATGAAGAACTTCACAACCTTGTCTAAAGTAGAAATAAATGAATGAGTGAGAAACATACAAGCGAAAAACTCTATATTAAAAGTAAACAAATAAGTGGATACTAAATAATGTGAACAGAAACTAAAGTAAAATGAAGCGACTCAAATTGATGATGATAAGGATATTTTAGGTAGATTTGGTAGTTAGCAAAACACGCGTTTCATCCTGTTTGGAACCCATCAATTAGATGCACCTGAACCTGTGTTAATGTTCAGATCTGGGCTTGAATCCAGCAGCTTTCGCTTCAAACGCTCAGCGCCTTATTTACTTAGCTACTGAGTATAGATAGCCATGATTTGTGTTGATTATTTGAATCTTCCCATCTGTTATGGACTGCAATCGACTAGACTCTTTAAGAACATATGTACATATTATGCGAACTGCCTTGATACTTTTATAATGTTTGATCAACATAAAGGGAATGGTGAAGATTTTTGTGTTACTAATGGCCATAAGAAATAGTTTATAGGTCTTTAAGAGCCTTATTATTATTATTTCTAAAAGTTAAAATATGGAATTGCATTTTTATTTTATTTTGAAAATAGATCCGGTGAAGTTGCATTCTATGGAGTTGCGCAACTGTTTTTTGCTAGACATCATTATCATAAACGCAAACTTCAGAAAGAAATGAGATACTGTAAATTTTCCAAGGTCTGTTTTGTTTACTATTATGATTTTATGACCGGCTTTTTATCACGTGATTCATCCACCAATCAAAATGCGACTTATACAATCTTAACACTATGCCAAACCAATGAAGTTCAACCGGTATGAGCAGTCTAGCGTCCTTATTAGTCCTATGTCCTCCTAGCCCGTCCACTTGAGTCCAGAACACCAATACCAGCTTCTGCGATATGAATCGAATCGTTTATTTCAGACATACTCGGTTTATATATCAATCAGACAGACCACAACGTACCGTAAAATAGAAAATAACATGTGTACACAAATAAGCCAAAAAGTGGCTGTGAACGCGGGAGATAGTAATTAATAGACTGAGCATAGCTTAAGAAGCATAAATCGTACAATAATAAATGATAGGTCAAAATAAAGCTTATAATAAGAGGAATATAAATATACATAATCTAATTGTTGTTATACAATAAGAATATTTATGGAATATTAGTCCATTAATAGTTCTCGGAAGTTACCCGTAATTTAGTCTTCGCTCGGATATAACATTGACACTGGATTTAATTTGGTTGTTGTCAATCACACAGACAAGAGAACACAATATCATCAGAATCATCATCCTGGGTTAAAAATACCTTGTTGCACATTGACATTAACCTGCTAAACATGGATGAAAGGACCATTGATCGCTTTTAGATTATATTTCTGGACTTTACAGAAGTATGCAAATATAATCAAGCCAGGAATCAAATCCAAGGCCAGTAGTGGACCAAGTGGGGATCCCATTGCTACACCATCCTTCTGTCTATAAATTACGTCGTTGAATGTGAACTGTACATTACAAGTACAACGTAGTAATAGTTTCTTCAAATAAACATCCGGTATTCCGATGCTTATCTCGTTATTATTTATGTACTTGCAGATCAAACTAATGGTCTCTGTGAGTGGAACATTAGTGAATAATGATTGGACATCCAGAGGTAGCATAATTTTGTCGCTTACATTCACTTCTTTTATGTGCTCGATAAATTCAAAAGTATCACGTACGGAGTGCTTACAAATGTTTTTTCTAATGGGTTCTAGGAGACTTGCCAGCCACTTTGCTATACAGCGGTAAGGGGATCCTGACATATCGAGAATCAGTCTAAGAGGTAGGCTAGTTTTGTGTATTTTTGGTATTCCATATAATCGCAGTATTATTGATGCTGTTGGTTTTATGCGCTCAAAGACATGTTCGTCGATTAACTGATCATTTTTCATTCTCTTAAAAACTTCAATCAGTTGCTTTTCCATAATTTCAGTCTTTTTTTCTCATTGATTGATTCATTGATAAGGACATAAAGCCGAAAACACAGATAACTAGAGTAGAAAAGAAAACTTTCACATGAACATCGGGTTCAAGGGTGACAGAGCCACACACACAGACACCCTAAAAAGGAGAATTTCCGATTCTTTAAAAAGAACATTCCCCGCAACAACATTGCGAATAGTATTCTCCAGCCGATCATTGTTCACCAACAACCTTAAAAATAAATTATCGCATCTGACCAACTCAATGTGCATTTACCAATTTACCTGCTCATGTAGAGCTGGGTATATAGGTCGTCCGATGCGTACTTTATCCAAAAGAATTCAAGAACATTGTCCGGTGTGGCTAAAAAGAGGAGGCAACGGCTCAATAAGAAGTTCAATAGTCGAACACCATGTGAAAACAGGTCATTCAATCAAGATGGACTCCGCGTTCAAAGTCATCTACAAGGTAAGTAGATGTTTTCTGAAGACCATTAGACTGAATCTTCTTTGCACTGCCGAAGCATTAGCCATACATCTGGAAAAATAATAATTGTGTGCGCAAAAGAGATTGGTACAACCTCTTCGTCTACCATGGTCCTAATGTCTTATAATTTCTTTTCTGATACTCTTCTTCCTTTACAGCCATCTGCTTCACTTTCCATCTCCCCCTTAAATCTTCTACCCCCAACTGGTTTATTTTTCTTTCTACGATCATCCTGATTGCATTTAATCTCGATTTCAACATTTTATCTTATCATGCTGAGCCATCCTTTCTCAATGATAATTTACCTATCTATCTTTTGGTGAATACAGAAGCCATTAACAATCAAATGATTACTAGACTTCCATCGGTTTTCTTTAAAAAAAATTTCAATACCTTTGTTTATTTGACCTCACTGTCACCATGTATAACAGAAGTTTATTATCAATATATATATATATATATATATATATATATATATATATATATATATATATATATATATATATATATATATATATATATATATTTGCGATTGTACAGCTTTGAAAATGAATTCGCCGAAAAGAGAACTCTTCGCTGAACTAATCTTTCTTATTTAATGTCTTAATGAGTGTATTACGTTTACTTACTGTATTTGTATCAAAATTCAGTCAACCACCAACCCAAGATCTACGGGACTACCGTTAAAAATTCACCTCATAAATATAGTTGAAATCGATAAAATCAAAAACGAGGAGTACAAAAATGGTGAGTAATGTAGTTTAGTACCCAGTTACAGGTCAGTTGGAGATAGATTATAAGGAACTAGAAATAAGTGGCTATCATAATAGGAATGTTGAATAGATAGCGTAACAAACGAAAGCCGGTGCTCAAACTGCTGATATGTATGGTACTTGAACGGTTGATGTTGATTTTTTAACTGCTTCTTATTCCGCAGAAATCGTCTACACTTGAACCCCAAACAGAAGATAGATGGGAAATTTGATAAAAGTTTTCCTTTCAGGGTTAGTTTAGGTAAGGATATTTGTAATTTTATGTCTCACCCTGATATTCTAAAAGCTTATGGAAACATGTCAAAATTAGTAAAATAATAGTTAATTATACAAATGAGATATGATGCATAATCTGTTACTTCGTAAAATCTTATTGAAAGTCCATAAAAATATTTTTATGAAGAGTAACAATTCCATGTCTTACCAAACTTCGGTAGGGGGTGTGATTTCTAAGTCCACTATCCGTAAGTGCCTATGTCGACAGATCACAAAACTGTAATGCCAGATCACAGCCCCAGTTTACATTTTAGTGAATAAAGTAACTAACAATTAAAAGTATATGATTTTTCATACACTCAACATTGCATTGCCTTTGAATAAAGATGAATTACACACTAATTAGTATGACATCAATTTTCTAGAAACAATTTGGAGATAATACTTGATACATAGTTTGAGTTGTGCAAAAGCCGACTGACTATTTACAGTCGTATTCAGTAGCCGCAAATAATATCAACATACTTTAGACTCGAATATTTCCTTATGTTCGTATATTACTTCTCTAAGATCTTAACGTAGTAGTAAATGTCATAAACACTTACGCAATACCTTTACATAGTATCTAGTACTTAGTGGAGCGAGAAACAGAATATTAGTAGCACTAAATTTGAAGAAATATATAACACTCTTTAGCAAAGTATGAAAAGAAAAATATTTACTTGCCAGGTGAGTTGTATTTCATTTTTTCCCTTCAACTAAGTCTTATCCTAAAGTAATTTTTGTAGTCACTGATCATGCGATCTCATATATGTTTAAAATAGCTGTATTTTCATTTAAAAACCTGTAGTTGTATTGTGAGTCAAATGATTTAGGTTGTTATTAATTATGAGCAGAAACCTAGGTACTGTTTCACATGTTAATCACCAATAAACAACGTAGAACATGGAACATACGTATATCCCTTCAAATTGCACAGCAGTACAGAGAGATATCAAAGCAGTGTAGGTAGAGTATTAGTGGTAGTGGTAAAGATTAAGGATTAGAGAATATTTGTGAAAATACAGGTTTGTGGAGTAAAAAAGAAGTATGAATTTATGAACTTGAGACCTTAGGTAGCACAAAAAATAAATGCACATGTGCTGTTGTGAACGATTTTGATCTTTCACTCAGCTTTTCTAACGTCTGGTTACGAAAATCATGTGAGCACCAACCAGGTAGTCTGCACCTACTTACAAGCCTTATTCCAAGAGCTGACCATGTCCTAGACTAATGCCACGTCTAAATTTGGGTCCACCTAACTTTATTCTAACCTACTCCTACATCAGACATTGTCACCCGTCGAAACGCGGTGTGATTAGGCATGCGTAACATATGTTACAACCACCGGTTGATGGAGATCCCTATCTTCAACCGACTCCTTATCTTTACCCTGTACCTTATACTCAACCATGTTGACCACTTGATGATCCCAACATACACCAGCACTGCTTTAAAGTGGATATATAATCAAACAATAGTGACCTACGAATGCCCTCTAGTCCACAGAGGCATATCTCAAAGTTGAACAGAGCAAATTGATGCTCAGTATACTACCCCTTTGGTTGGTAGACAGACCATTACGAAGGAATTATTATCTTACTGACTAATTTCCTTTTAAATATTCTACACGACGCTTAGAAATATGACTGAAGTTCTGACCTATATGCACCATTTTTATTCACCGAGGTCAGTTATCCCTATCTACCACTTAGGATTGCATCATTATTTCGGATTAATTTGGCTTAAGGTTTGATACACAAACCCATACTTAGGTTCTGAGTAAAAAAAGACACGTTCAGCATGGAGGAAAGGATAATCCGAGAAAGCATGTGTCAAGTGATTATCTGGGACTGAGCGGTTTCTATTGAGCAAAACTTACTTGACAGACAAACTAAATCCTTTACCGTCTGCTTCACTTTGACGCAATATAAAAGCCCCATCAGGTTGCAAATGTTGTGCTGTTTCTTGATCGATTTCTTGAAGTCTTTCTTCGGCTTCCATACGACTACAGTGTCGGATGTACCAAGGGTGAGGACGCATTGTGATGTAATTGCACGGTATTAAACCTGTTCGGCCTTCCTGTTCGGCTAGGTACCAGTTAGGATCGTCTTCCACACATAGTATCTATGAAAGTGAGTGATACGCATGTAACGCAATTGGATAACTTTTAAATGCTAAAATTCGAGGTTAGTATGAGTGATCTCAAAAAATGAAACAGGAACTGACATAACGATTATACACGACACTACCTAGATAACAAAGTAAGTTATTTATGGTATATGGATAACACCTTTCTTAACCTTTTATTAAACACAATAACAACAGCCTGACTATACAACTGAGCTTCACTTTGTTTTAGGATCCATAAGGTCGAACCATTTGTGAAGAAACAATTGTTCTTATTCATTCTCTACAGTTGGCTTGTTGTGACTGCATGTTTGCTTTTTATACGAGTATAAGGCTCATTTTTACTCTACAATAGTCATTTCAAGCTCTTAGGGTTTAACAGTGATCCAAGGGAAAGTGGTTCTCGCTGTACAAATTATCGTGACACAAAGTATCAATGGATGAAATGAAGAGTCAAATAACATAAACATCGTTCAGACAAAAACATTGGAGATTAGGCAATGTTCACGAGATATCATAATTAGGCTGAAGCTGCTTTAGTACTTTCATAACAACGCTCGAAGGACTTCCCATGGAAGACGCTTACACAAACGACGACATAGAATCACCAAAGGAAAACACATTTGACCATCATGATTCAAGTTAGAAAGGCTGTATAGGATACAAACTGCAACCTTAGAAAGAAGTCAATAGAAGTATACCATAATATTATAGTTTAAATAACTTGATGTGACTTACTAACCGAATGTACGGATATTACCACTTGATGCTGGTCCATTTTTTAATAGGAGAAACACTATTCGGCTGTTTGAGATGAAATAGAGGATGTTTAAACTTTATAGAAAGACTAGCTAGGGCACCACCACTGAGTCTTACCAAACCAGTCAGTTACTTTGAGGAGGTCCGATTTTCAAAAATGTCATGGATAACACTCTGTTAGAGTAGTGATCACTAGCATAATTTGTTGTTGAGGTTCGTTTCGCCAAATTTACGAGAGTGAAACATCTAATTTATAAATCAACAGACCTCTGTTTATACTCTGAACAACTTAGTAATGATCTGCTGCAGAATAAGAACGCATATTACGAAAAATGTTTCGCAAACAGTCATGGAAATATAATCGGCTGTTTAGCTGATGAGTGTTAAAAATCAGACTACACAAAAATAGTAACAGCGAAGACCTTAGCAGGACTTGAGTTTCATAGGTATACCAAAATAAAAACACGTGGGTGAATAAGTGGAGTGACTTTCAATATTTTCGGGTATTTCGATGCGGAGTGAAATACCAAGAAAGTTTTCCATTTATCCATTCATAGGTTTTTATCGGTAAAGCCTCATTTATTACTTTAGTTCGGATCAGAAGTATGGATATGACAGTATGATCAGAAGCAAACACCTTGTACTTAGACCTGACCGATCGATATGTAGGGCCCACTCAGTGAGCTGGAAAGATTTAATCACCATCTTAAGCTAAACATATATGCAATGAATATACAAAATTATAACACTGAAGCTTATTATGGAAGTGCGCCACATTGTGCTATGTGATTATGTAATATTACTTACCTTTAAGAGACTTCCTTTTTTAAATCCAAGTTCATCTTCAGCGTTGGCAACAAAATCATAGCTAGCCTCAGCCTCCATCCCAAGTCGGAGTAACAACCCAACACGAAGCACTTAGGCACAAGGTCAATGGAAAGGGGTAGCGGGATATTTGTAACTATTGAGGGCTGAGGTTAGGTTGGAATTATACGTCACATTTTGAGTGTAGGGATTGATATTTCTCAGCCAATTACGTGAATTACTACTATGTGGGATTTTCTCATATACATGAACTAAGTGGATCTAAGCGCATGAGTGAAACAACTTCAACGTAATCACTAAATTAACTTTGCAGCTTTATGGCAGTATGATAAACGTTTCAAGAATTCGGAGTCTGTTTCCACGAATTCTTGAATTTCATGTAGCCTTTACACTTTTAATATCGTATTACTGCTAAGTATTATCAGTGGTTCTTGTTGGTAAGTAAGACTGCTGTGTGCTGATTCATCGACACACTTGTAGCGGTAAATAAATCCCAAAAGTCAATAGCTCTGTAAGTCTTTGACATTTGGGGCTCACTACATTAGTTTTAATGGACCCATCTAGGTGAAGGCTCTTGGTCATGCATTCACATCTGATCACGAGTAGGTACGCTGTGCTCAACTTCCATTATATCTTCGAACCTTTTCGCTTCTGATTTCACTGGGTCGGCACGTCTTGACTATAGATTGTGTTGCTGGTCAGAGCGTTGTCGAACTCCAAATACTTTTGTCATCTTCAGTAGTGAGTCCGACGTGATCTGGTACACCTGTTTATAAATTGTGTCTGTTCCTTTTCAGAACTTTATATATCATTTCTTTACTTTGATTGTATATATTGTGGTATTTTTCATATTTTCGGATATTTCTCTTTGTCTCATCCATTCCTATACTTTATATTCGTCATGATCGAACAGACTCCTGAGTTACTTAAGATCAAGACTCTTACGCCACACTCATTCCAACTAATGCCACTCTGGCCAAACAAAATTGAAGCCTTGTTCTGCTACGCAGGAACTGACTTCTACAAACACGGCCTGACAGAACCACGTCCGAAATTCCTCTCAGTCGTGAAGGCACTACAATAGGTAAGTTTATATTTGCTAGTGATTTTTCAGGAACTTACGAAACTCTCTTTGACGCGAAGATCTAACCGATTGACAAAGGTTATATGAACTCCTCAATAACATTGATCTACAACATGGATCAGCAACAGACATGTTACGGATGAGAGAAGTTGTAACAGCTTAGGTTGATTGGTTAAGAGGTGACCTCAGACAACTAAGTATATCTCAAATCAATAGAGCTTGTAGCGGTAAATAAATCCACAAAGTCAGTAGCTCTGTAAGTCTTCGACTTTGGTTGCTGACCACATCAGTTTAGATGGACTCACCTAGCTGAAGGCTCTAGGTAATGCATCCGCACCAAATCACGACGTGCTCAACATCCGCTGCAATCGCTAGACAGATTAGACCAGCCAATCCCTGATATAATGATAGGTTATCAAGTATATCTTCGAACATCTTCAATTCTGTCTTTTGATTTCACTTGGTGTGTACGATTCTTAAAAGAAGGTGATACTGGTTAGAGCTTTGTCAAACTCCGAATACCTGTGGGATTTTCATTGGTGAGCCCAACGTGATCTGAAACACCAAATCGCAAACTGTGAGTTTGTTTCTTTTTGGAATTTCATAAGTCAATGCTTTATTTCAATTTTTTGTATATTGTGGTATTTTGTTTCGAGTTTATGGACATTTTTTTCTCCTCGTTCATTCCTGTACTTAATATCTCACTATGACGGAACAGACACCTAAGGTACTTAAGTTAAGGACTAGGTTCCCAACTTCATTCAATGCCCTTCTGGCTATACAACATTGAAGCCTAGTTCTGCTACACGGAAGTCGGCTTCTACGAACACGGCGTGAACGACACATGTGCACAATTCCACGCACCAGTCAAGGCACTACCGCGCGAATTCAACAGGCACATAACACCTAGTATATTTACTAGTGATGGTTCAGAATCCTACTGATCAATTAAACAATCTATCCTTCAACGCGGAGATCTAACTGATCGACAAAGGTTAGACCAACCCCTTAATAATATCGACCTGCAACATGGTTCTGCGACAGTTTGCTTAAAATGAAAGAGGTTTTCGATCAAACGACGTTGGATGAGGGCCTATTCAAACAAACTTTCTTATCTAAACTCCTTCGACAGGCGCAAGCTGTGCCGGTTTCGTTTCAAAACGACGCTGTAGACGAGCTGGCTGCATCAGCCGACCGCATCTTAGAAATCATCAAATCATCTAACGTTGAAGTTTTTTCAGTCAAAGAAGAACCTCAAAGGACACAGAATGACATTACGGAACTGTTTCATTTGCTGACACGTTATCTACGGTTTTGTAATGACTGTAAACGGTCACGCACTCCACGGAAAGGCACCTCACGTAGACGATCTGTCTCTAGACCACGAAAGTGGGATACGTCCGACTGGCACTGGCATCATATCCAGTATCGAAAGTTTTCTAAAGATTGCAGAAAACCCTGCAATTTTCCCAACTCAAAATAGACCAACACGAAAAATAATTCGGGAAACTTCCAAGCCGGCGCGCATAAACGGGAACCGTAGGCGGCGAACATAACCGTCTGTTATGCGTCACAGATGTGATAACGAAAGTTCGCTAGCTCGTCAATACTGGCGCAGAATTTGGAGTTCTTCCTGAAAATTCTACCGATTGGCTTCGCGAATCTGTTTTAAACTTACAGGCGGCAAACGGAAAGCCAATCGCCATGTACGTTAAAAGGTACGTCTACCTTAACGTGGGTTTACGCGAACACATTCACTGGATTTTTCTTGTTGCAGATGTTTCTATACCTATCATTGGTATAGACCTGCTACAACACCACAATCTACTCATCGATACGCACGAACGGAGGCTATTAGACGGATACACTAATTTATCTGTTTGCGTAACTTCTTTTTCCGGTTGCCGATTACCTCCAGTCTCAATTAAGCATATGACAGACCCATTCTATCAACCAATACTCGATAAGTTTTCTGGGATATACCAACCGCAACCAAAATTGCAACGTTACATACCACATCACGACTACAGGATACCTGTATTCTCGAAAACACGCCGACTGGCCCCCGATTTCGACCACATGATAGAATTAGGTATCAGAAGACCGTCAAACAGCCCATGGGCATCCCTCATGCAAATGGTCTCTAAGAAGGACAGCAACGATTGGCGTCCAGCTGGTGACTATCGTCGATTGAATGCGAAAACCATTCCCGATCGTTACCCGTTGCTTAACATTCACGATTTTACAGCTACCTTGAAAGGTACAACTGTCTTCTCGAAAATTGACTTGGTTAAAGCGTATAACCAAATCCTTATAGCTACTGACGATATTCCAAAAACGGCTATCATGACTCCCTTCGGACTCTACGAATTTTTGCGAATGCCTTTTGGTCTAAGAAATACTGCCCGAACTTTACAACGTTTCATAGATGAAGTTTTCTGAGGTCCCAACTTCGTACATGAGTATGTTGATGACTGCTTAATAGCATGTCAGGACAGAGAATAGCATCTCCAGCATCTAGATCTTGTTTTCGGACGACTACAAAAACATGGCATTACTGTTAACATTCAGAATTGCCAAATCGGAACAGACACCTTAGACTCTCTAGGACACACTATCGATGCGCAAGGCATCCGAACTCTTAGAAGCACAGTGGCGGCCATTCTGGATCACCCAAAATCGAGCACCATTAAACGATTGCGCACATTTAATGGCCTTGTAAGTTTCTACAAAATGTTCATACCAAAATGCGCGTCGCTTATGGAACGGCTAACCGACCAACTTCGTGGAAATGCGACACCTTGTGAAAATCATTCTCCACAGTTAAGAAACTTATCGCTCAGGCATCAATACTCGCAAATCAGGACACTCATGCACCCATTAGTATCGCTGTAGATACATTCGACTCAGTAATCAGAGGAGTCTTACAACCATGGGTTAACCACTCTTGGCAACCTTTGGCATTTTTCTCTAGATGGTTGCTAGACACTGAATCGAGATACAGCACTCTTGGTAGGGAACTCCTAGCTATTGTTCTGGACGGCATTTTCAACACTATAACTTCGTTGAAGTGTTCCCAAGGCATCGACCTCTTTAAACTCGCTCAGCTTCAAAATAAAGACACTGATCTTCACAACGAGTTATCCTCATTTACACTTAAACTGCGCATTAAACAGATGGGAAAAGGTAAGTAAACCTTACTATGTGACACATCTACAGGTAGGGAGCTTCCAATAGTGCCGAAACATCATCGACGCAACGTCTTTAATGCATTGCACAAACTTTCTCATCCAGGTGTTCGTGCAACCATCAAGCTCATAACAGAACAGTTTTACTGGCCTGGTATGAATAAAGACATGAGGGAGTGCGCACGCTCCTGTGTAAGATTCCAGAAATTTTAGGTGATTAGACACAACAAATGTCCGTTAGGCTCATTTCAGGCGAAGACTTCCAGCGGCAGATCACTTAATCTCCATCGTTAATTATTTTTTAAATTGCTTCCTCAGATATTCAGTTAACCTAAGGTGCTCAAAAATGATGAGATATTCTTAAAAAAATTATCGTTAATCATCAGGTTGGTCTATGCCTGTTCACTTCATAGCCCGTAATGAGGTTAAGGAGTTCGCTTAAAGCGCCTCAGTGCGATCTAGAAGAACTTTCACAATTTTGAACCATCAACACTGAATTCTTTCATACATACCCACTTCATATTCAAACACAAGGATTAGATGCTTGAATTCGGTAATCCTAGTGTGGCTCCTTAGATTACTTCCTGACCCAAATTATGGCATAAATTACGAATGATCCGTAAGGTCTTAAAGATGCCACAGGTATTCGAAGTTTGACAACTCTTTTAGACTTATGATTGATGCCGAGGAGAGTCTTATTTATGCATGGCATACCTACTTGTGATCTGGTGCTGTTGTGTGATCAAACTCCTTCAGCTCGTATGTGTCCAGTAAAAATAATAAGGTTA